ATCTAAATAATTATTTATTAATCGATTTAAAAAGAGTTTTTAAAAGAGTTTCTATAAAACTATATCTCAAATTACATATTTAACTATTTATTATGAGTTTTTTTAATAAAAGAAAATCTAATTAGACAAGCATTATTAAGATAAAAAAATATTTATTAATTAATATAAAAAGAGGTTGGAAAAGAGTTTCTATAAAACTCTAACACAAATTACCTATTTATCTATTTATTATGAGTTTTTTTTTAATAAAATGAAATCTAATTAGACAAGAATTATTAATATAAAAAAATATTTATTAATTGATATAAAAAGTGTTTTTTAAAGAATTTCTATTAAACTGTAACACAAATTACCTATTTATTTATTTATTATAAATAGATTTTCAGAAAATATAATAATTTCTATAAAACTCTGCTACAAATTATCTATTTTATTTTCTTTAAAACTCTATCACATATAACTTGTTTTTATCTATTTATTGTGATTTTTTTGATGAAGGAGATCTAATTAGACAACGATATATTTAAAGAAAATAAAATATATTTTTAAAAGAGTTTATATAAAATTCTAATAAAAATTACCTATTTATGTATTTATTATGAATTTTTTAATAAAATATAATATAACTAGACAAGAATTATTAATATAAAAAATATTTAATAATCGGTATAAAAATAAAATAAATTTTCTAAAACTCTACCACAAATTATCTTTTATTATGAGTTTTTTAATAATAAAAAATCTAATTAGACAAGGATATATATATTTAAAGAAAATAAATAATTTATATAAAATTTTATCACAAATTACCTATTTTATTTGCAATGAAACTCTATCACATTAGATAAGGATATATTTAAATAGTTTTTATAAAATTCTAACACAAATTACCAAAACTTTACCACAAATTAAGTATTTTATTTTCTTTACAACTCTATCAAGTATAACCTTTATTTATCTATTTATTATGAGTTTTCTAATAAAATAAAATCTAATTAAATAAGGATATATTTAAAAAAAATAAAATAATTTCTATAACTCTATCACATTAAACAAGGATATATTTAAAGAAAATATATAATAATATAATAATAGATATAAATAAAATATAAATGTTAAAGAATTTGAACCTTTCAATATTTATTTTTTAATATAAAAAATATTTATTAATTAATACAAAAAGAGAACTCTATCACATATAAGTATATAACCCTTGTATTTATCTATTTTTTATGCGTTTTTTAATAAAAGAAAATCTAATTTTTACAAAGATATATCTAAATAAAATAAAATAATTTCTATAAAATTGTACCACAAATTACATATTAAAAGAAAATAAAATATAACCTAGGGTCTTCCAAAAACCACAAACTCCATATAATAAATTTTTATATCAATTTCAATCCAATGTATAATTAGTATAATTGAATTTCTATTTTAAAATTTATTTAAAAATTAATATAATTGAATTTCTATTGTAAATTAAAAATTATACTAAATTTCAAATTATCTGTTAAAATTCAAATTACAAATTACCTAATAAAATTCAAATTACCTAAAAAAATTTGTTACTTTGCAAAACTCAAATATTTCACTATTAAAATAAAAAATTATTTTTTAATAAAAAATAAAATATACATATTTCAGTATTAATATAAAAACATAAAAGAATTTATTAATTTATGAAACTTAAACTCTATCACCAATTTCAAAATATTTCAGTATTTATTTATTAATATAAAATAAATTTTTATTAATCAATATGAAGACAAAAATTTTATAAGTTACAAAATATTTATCACGATCGCACCGTCGCACGTGCCTTTTCCTAGTATATATATATATATATATATATATATATATATATATATATATATATATATATATGATTGTGAGGTTCTCCCTCCCTTCAAACAATTGTATAGAAGCATATTTTTACATATATATGAACCTAAACAAAAAGAGCAGCCCAATAAGGCAAAAGCCCAAGCCCATGAACCCAATAGAATTCAAAAGAAAAAAACAAAGAGTTTTAAAACGGCTTATAGGTGTCCCAACAACCCACATTTGATGCTACGTCACGATGTGGTATATATTTATTCAAAAATTTATTTTTGTACTGAATAATTACTGTGAATGTTAATTTTTTTTTTAATTGATTATTTATATAAAAAATAAGAAAATAAAATTTTCTATTATTTATATTTAGTATAAATAATTAATAAAAAATTATTCAATTAAATAATTAACTCCAAAGTTTTTAATGTAAGTATCACATGTTACAAAATGAATGAATGCAAGTCATCTAGAGAAGATCACGACAACTTCTATCACAATTTAATAAATATATAAGCCATGTGCTCCCATGAAGTTATTTTAATACATGCCCCGTGTTCATTAATTGTGTGTCAGCCTTGCCACATCATATTACTAGTATAACTTCTCCTAAAGGTCGCTATTTGAACAAAAGCTTTATTGCACGGGGAAGCAAGCACATCCAATTATTTGTTATCGATATGTGTAATATACGTATTAATACGTATAATATGTGAACGATTCGGATGCCCGTTGTACTGTAATAAAGTTTTTTCTCTCCTATTAAGGAGTAAATGTAATACCCTAGTTTTAATGATAAAAAAAATAACAAGAAAAATTTAAAGAAAAATGACAGTTTTTGTTCTAGATTTTGTACAAATCAAATTATTATATTTAAATATCATGAAAGTTGTTGTGAAAATGAAAAAGAACATGATACTTTTATAAAAAGTTGAAAAGATAAAGAAACGACAAATGGTGGACGTATTTTATGAAAACAAATAAAAGTAATAATGATGTCTTTTACCTGCTATTATCAACTCAAACAAGTGAAAAATAGAGCTCCCAGAAATATTTCTTTCAAAGAAACATGTAAAGAAAAACAAAATTTTAGTACTAATATATACTAGTACTATTTTTCTTTCAAACGTTTTTATTTTTATTTTGGTAATTACCTTTTATTGATATTGATAATGATAAAATTAAATATAAAAACTAAAAATAGGGTAATTTTAGAATAACACATCTCTGTCAATTTTAAGTCGGGACATTAAAGTTGTCAATAATATCATTTTCCCTATAAAAACTTTCCCACAACTATTGAAAGATTGTAGGATACCTCTCAATTATTTTTGGGAGCAAATCCAGTCCATGAATTATAAACATGTTGCATATTGTCCTCTTCATATTATGGGTGAAAACTTTCTTGCCATTTAAGTGTTATGTGACTTTATTTTTGTATTTATTGGCAACCTCTAAACCCCCTTCCTTTATAAGAATCAATTTGTTGTAAATTTAGTTTATTTCTCCTCTCTCTCTCCAACTAAAGGTGCTCTTCAACCATTTAGGAAAAACAAAACAAAAAAACAAAAAAAACAAAAAACAAAAAAAGGTGCTCTCCAAAGGACAAGGTCAGTTTGATTTAATATATATATGTTCATATATATATATAAACATTTTTTGGTGACTGGTGAGTATTATTTATATACATGGATGACACAAAAATTTATTCTTGTTAGTTAGTTTTGTATGTCAACTGCAACATTGTCCTATAATTTATATAGAATAATTATTGATTCATATACACCACTAAGGTGTATACAACACAAATTTAAATAGACATCGTGTATGTGTGTGTGCGTGTTTTATTTTTTTGGGTAGGTCTTTTCATTATATGTGATGCAGAGAGAGAGATGTCCTTAACTTGCATGTCATCCTACACTTACATTTGAGTTCTATTTAATAATAAAGTTGAACAGGGCACTCAGTGGAGGTCATATGGGCAAGGAAATTTATGTGTTGATGTTGACACGGTTGAAATATGACAACTAGGAATCATAAAGGCGACTGTCAATTACATTTGAGCTCTATCTAATACTAAGGTCACTCATAAGTTATTGATACTAATAATATGGTATCAACGGTTTATTAAATATAATCATAGAACCGATCAAAATAAAATGTTTTTACTAAAACACTCATCAGAGATTCAGAGAATGTCTAATTATCTATGAAGTAGAGCAATCTCAGTTATTCTACTTGACAATAATATGAATCAATATAGCTTAATAGGTGAATATGATCAAAATTATGTTATTAAGATTATCTTGATATTTTCAATCAATGTGAAGATCAAAATGAATTCGTTTAAGGTTAACTCAAATCCACTTCATTCATGTCGTATTCGAGACGAATCGTGTCAAACTTTGTCATCTAATATAGGGTACCTACCTTTAATTAATGTATTAGTAGATCCCTGAAATGGTATAGATTGTCTATTTGCGACCGGCACAGATTGTCCAAAACCTGCCACGGACCACTTGGATGGATGATTTGTGTTAGGCTTCTAAATCAAAGTTGTATGTGGACACATTCAAATCAAGTTTGATTTGGGTGCGAAAGCACATTATAAACCACAAATATGTAAGCAATTTGACAAGTAATGTTTCTTTAGACATGGACCAGACTTGAGGCAACCTCATGGTCCTCATCATATACGAATATGTATTCTAGCTAGCTTGCTCACTTTTAAAAAGTATACTGTGATTGAATGAGTACACTAATAATATGACGCATCCGATGCACTCAATATCTACTCCCTATTAAGGATCGGGGCAAGGTGAAAGACAAAATGACAAGAAGGTACTTCAGGTATTTTCCAGAGATCATGGGATTGAGAATAACCCCCTTGAAAATTCTCGAAGTTCCTTTCCATCCGTAATGATCCTACTAGAGTTCGAGCCTTGCAAAAATAATGTTTGTGGGTGGGTGTAATCTGTTTAATTAGATTGTAATAATCATTTGCCAATTATTCCAACTCTAGTAGAATGAGTAAGCCAAGATCCGGTTGTCTTCACAAACACAGACTTGACAGATAATGAATCTTAAAAATGAGTTCAAAATTGTTTGGTTATAACTTATAACCAAGTAAACAAAAGTAGTTCTTAAAATATATGTATCCTAGATTTCCAAGTCAAAGGACAAACCAAGTTTATTACTTCAAACCTGTAATTCAACCCTTTGTACAATAGTAATCCATTACACCAAATTAAGCCCACACCCCACTTTGTCTCATAAGCAGTTTTAAATCTTACAAAACTGAAACACTTAATTTTTGTGAAAAGATCACATATACATAAAGGAGTAGAATTATAAATACTATGTAGCAAGGAACTAGAGCCTCACACATCTCCACTTTCAGTAGGTATAACCAGAAGAGACACAGCTTTCTTCAATGTGACTCCAAATTGCTCTTCCATGTCTAAATTTTCCGGAGTTGTTCCTTCAGGCAACCTCCAACCAAACGACTGAATAATGGAAGCCAACATCAAACTCACCATCCGAGCAGCAAGAGGCATACCGGGGCAAATTCTCCGGCCAGCACCGAACGGGATGTATTCGAAATCTCGGCCTTTGTAGTCTAGGTTCGAGTCTAAGAACCTTTCGGGCGAAAATGACAAGGGGTTGTCCCAACATTTTGGATCTCTACCAATTGCCCACGCATTCACCAGGACTTGGCTGCCCTTAGGTATGGTGAAGCCTAGTAATTCGGTGTCGTCTCCGGCTTTATATGGCAAGAGAAGTGGAGCTGCAGGGTGGAGTCTCATGGTCTCTTTGACAACTGCTTGGAGATAGGGAAGTTGATCAATGTCTGTCTCCGTCACCAGTCTTTTTGTACCGATTGTTTCAACAATTTCTTTTCGAGCTTTTTGCAGCACATCCGGCTTTCGGAGAAGTTCTGCCATTGCCCATTCGGTTGTAATTGCGGATGTATCGCTCCCGGCGATGAACAAATCCTGTAATTTGATGAAATTAACCTCTAGTAAAATTATGACAATAATGGCAACTATACCAAGAAAATCATAAAATTATGACAACATGTATATTTTACTTTATGTTTTTTTGGGACCCTTTCGTGCTTACCTTTTCAATACAAAGTTATTTCAATGTCTGAAAACTACTTCTAACACAAGATTGTGGATGCTACAACTCTGAATGGGCTATATACAATAATACAAGAGAAGGTAACAACTAACCCAACTAATCTTGTATCTTTACTAAAGTAAGTAGGTCAAAATGTTAGATATAGTGGTTAAATGCAAGAAAGTATATAATAATTCGAACTAGTATGGACAGTCATTATAACTATAATATACGTTAAATTCTGTATGATACATACACGTATGAGCATTAATTTACTACTTCTATATGTAAACGATTATGCAATATATAATATTCCCTTGCATGGCGTAGCGGCCTTGCAGGTATGGTAATAGAGAGACAGTGACGTACTTAAAATGATAAAGTCTACGAGTTTAGACAGTGATGCACATCGAAAAATGCATAATGAGATGAATTAATATATTTTGGATTAATACTATTAAATTTTATTTTATTTATTATTATTATTATTATTTTTTTTTTTACTGGGCTAAAATTACTTCTATTATTATTATTATTTTTTCAATCTTTAATGAAACAAAGTGGGGTTTGAATGTTGAAAAGGATACCTAAAACTAGTTGGTTCTTTCAATCGAGACACAACAGATAACCTACCGACACATGAAGACAAAACCATTAATGTTTGAGTGTGGGCCGAAAAATACAGAGTCCTAATAGTCCATTATATTGATTTTGACATTCAAGAGTCGTAAAAATGACTAGTCATCGGGCGCAAATCACCAGGGGCCGAAAAATACGGAGTCCTAATAGTCCATTATATTGATTTTGACATTCAAGAGTCGTAATAATGACTAGTCGTAAGGCGCAAATCACTTTCTGTGCAATTCTCATGCTTTTTCTTACAATAAGCAATAAGTGGTCTTAATTTGATCACGTTTTACTATACTTAATAAATAATAATATTGTGTTTGACAATTTCATCATTATTTATAAATAATATTTTATTACCATTTTTAAGTAACGTGATAATGTTACTTTTTAGACTATGTAATGTTATTTATAAATGGTAATGATATTTAATTTTTAGATTATTTTTACATTTTACCACCATTTTTAAGTAATGTCACAAAAGTCTAAAAGTAATATCACATAGTCTAAAAAGTAACATCATCACCATTTATAGATATCTTTCACCCTCAAAACGTGATGATATTACTTTTTAGACTATTTTTACATTTCATCACCATTTTTAAGTAACATCACAGAGTCTAAAAAGTAACATCACCATTTATAAAAAAAAAGTCACTACTTTTAATTTTAAATAATAATATAAATGATATGTTGAATTGATTTATGTTTATATGTGACATTACTTTTTAGTTTATGTGATATTACTTATAAATGATGGTATAATGTTACTTATAAATAGTGATATAATTGGCTAAACATGATCTTAGTGTTCATTAATTGAAGAATGATGTGGTCAAATATGAACCACTTAAAGTTTACTGAAGGAAACTATATGGGAGCTCACTGCAGGTGATTCGTGCCCCTGCTCATCACAACATTATTACTTTTGATATTAAAACTTTTAAGACCACGTGAACTTCCAACCGAAAAAAAAATAATAATAATAAAATATTTTAAGGAACAATAATAGTTTATTGTTTCCTTTTTAATATATGAATTTTCAAGTTTGATTATGTTAATTTTTTAAAAAAATTAAACCTAAAAGTTATTTATAAAAAGGGAAAATTACATATAATGGAGTCAAAATTTCATATTTACTTAAAGGCTGAGTCAAAGTTCCATATTTCTCTAAAATGAATTGCTGACGTGGCACATGATTTTTTACTGTTCAGAAATTGTGGTGCCTAAAATACCCTTCTGCGAAGGTATTACTTTTTTTTTCGAAGGTACTACTTTTTTGAACTGAATGTACTACTTTTTGGCGTCCAGGTACCATGTTTTTTAAACACCCGCGAAGGTACTACTTTTTCTCCGAATGTATTACTTTTTTGAACTGAAGGTACTACTTTTTTGTACTAAAGGTACTACTTTTTTGTTAGGAAACGGCATTTTAGGCACCACAATTTTCTAAACAGTAAAAAACCATGTGCCACCTCAGCAATCCATTTTAGAGAAATATAAAACTTTGACTCAATCTCTAAATAAATATGAAACTTTAACTCCATTTATATCTATTTATATGTAATTTTTCCTTATAAAAAAGCATTTATCTATTTCATTTTATTTTATTATTATTTTTAATTTTTATATGTATATGGTGCCTTAGATTAATATGATGGTTTATACACGCAATTTAGTAAATTAGAATTGACAAAATTAATAATTTTTGTTGTATTTTTTCTTGTTTGCTTTTTTATGCTAAAAATCTATATTTGTTATGTTATTTTTGGTATTTTGAGACAACCCAAAACAGAGATCGGAAAATTCTAAATGATGATGAGGATAACTTACCAAAATCAAAGGCTTGATGGTTTGTCTGGTAAAACCTGAACCCTCTTCATCACACTGATCAAGAAGCACATCCAAGAAATCAGCAGTCCTATTAGTCATCCCCTCAGACGCTCTAGATTTCAACCGCTTATCAATAACATCTTCAAATACTTCATGCAACCTCATGTAGGCAGGCTTTATATGCCGCTTCACTCCCTGCAAATCAAGCCACCGGAGCACCGGAAAATGATCCGACAGGTTAGGCTTCCCGGCGTCCTCCATGATCCTCCACACCATATCTTTGAACTCCTGAGCCGACTCGGATTCCGGGTCAACCAGGTCCATGGAGAAAATGGTCTGAGACATCATGTTAATTGTAGTCGCAAAAGCAACTCGGCCTATGTCGACTGGTGTGGCCGAAACGCAGTGTTTTGCAATGTGACCGACGAGTTCCCGGGCTTTTTCGTGTCGGGAGTGTTGGAGTGAGTCCAGTCTTTTGATGGTGAACATCTGGGTGTTGCATATACGTCGGCGGTTGCGCCACTGGTGGTTGCCGGAGACCCAGGCGAGCGTGGCCTCGGGGTTTGGCTGCGCGGTGATGACGTCGGGGATGGTGCGGTCGGAGAGGGTTTGGTCGTGTTTTTGGAAGAGTTCTTTGGCTGTTTCGGCTGAGGAAGCGACTATGGTGGTGACGGAGCCGAGGCGGAGAGTCATGAGTGGGCCGTGGAGTTTGGACAAGTCCGCGAGGGATTGGTTCGGTCTGGGACCGAGTTGGAGGAGTGAGCCGAGGACAGGGAGGCCGGTGGGGCCGGGTGGGAGTTTGGTGGTGGTGGAACGGTGGAGGAAGGGTTTGATGAGGAACCAGAGGAGGGTGAGGCAGAAGAGGAGGATGTGGAGTTCCATTTTAGTTCACTTTCTCTCTCTAGGTTGATGGTGGTGGAAGTTAATTTTGTACAGTATATGGTGAGGACAGTCCTCAATCCTCATCTTCCAACTTATGGGGTGGATGGCTTACTTCGTCTAGAGTGTCACGGTACAATAAAAATACGGAGATTTTCAATAATTGGGGATGAGTTTTGAATTGTTTGTGTGCTAGCGAGTGTCAATCACTTGCTAGCTATAAAATTTATTACAACAATTTTATTATTATTATTATTTTAGAAGTTTTTTTTAGACTATTTTTTGGACCAAAAAAAAAAATTTCTAACTTCACCCTTACTCAAAATCACTTGGAATAAAAAAGAATGAAAAGTCATTGCACATCCCTACCGTTGTCACCACCTCCACCGCCTTTCACCACCACCATCACCATTGTTGCCTTTCACCATCACCATTGTCTTCTGCCACCGTTTTCCTTTACCGTTACTATACCTTTACAAAAAAAAAAAGAAGTAAAAATTATAAAATAATGTTATTATGATTGTTTAATTTATTTGTCAGTAAGAGAATGTTTCGTAGAGTTTAATTTAATTTTATGTTTTAAATTGGTCGTAACCAAATATTAGAATAACTACATCATTTTATATTTACAATCAAACAATAAAATAACAAATGACCATTTCATTCTATTTTCATTCTCATTCCACGAATACAAAACATAACATAATTATGTCATAATGCAACAAAATTATATCACAAAATGCAATACCCATTTGACAATTTAAAAAAAAAAACAAAAAAAAAAAAATTATGAAACATACAACATGTTATACCATGTTCTATTAAATTGAGAATTTAATATATATATATATATATATATATATATATATATTATCTCGGCTTTTTACTTGTTCCCCACTGCTTTCCATGGGAGTGGGGAGGTGTCGATTCTTACCACCCATTACATAATAAACTTGGCGTGTTGTAAATAGTTTATTCAACGGGTGGATCTGTTGTTTTGTCTCCAGTTAGATCTCTGATTTATGCCGAGTTTTGTTGTTCCCGCTTCTTATGTGGGGTTGGGTGGTTTTTTTTTCAGTCGGCGGCGCCTTGTAGATGCAGCCTTGGAGTTGCCTTGCTTGCTGCTTTTCTCCTCTTGGTGGTTTCTGCTGTTGTTTGGTGCGTTGGTGCTGGACGATCTCCTCCTGCAGAAACTGTTTAAGCTCTAATTCTCATGACGGTGGTCATGTCTTAGTTTAATGTTAGGTTTCTTTGGAGTAGTCTAATTTGATGTGTATGTGGTTCTGTTATGCTTTTGTTATGTTTGTGTTTTGTTTGTTGAGTGATCCAGTAATGGCCTGTTCACTTTTTGTTTGTCAGGACAAAAATAAATAAATAAATAAATAAAAAAAAAAAAAAAAAATCACCATGTAAAATTATTTACTCAAAGCACATGACAAAATTGACACAGGAGAGACACTGATTCCTACTCGAAAGAGTCCCGATACGAAACTTTCGAAAAACAAGAGTCCCCCATTCCAGTTATATATATTTACATATTAATATATTATAGCATCATATACGTACACGCAATCACCACTAACACACGTGTACAACCCTCATTCTCCTCTAGCGCGCCAAATACCACGCACACACCAGATAATAAAATCAGTACAGATCATACACCACAATCATTCAAATACCATCAACACATATCACATTAGTTGAAATTATACAATCAGTAGTGAGAGAGATAGAGAGTTAATTATTTTTTATACTCAGTAATTTGTTTTTTTTTTTGTTTAAAATAATATACATAAAAATTGGATATAATTCATATAAATTAAATAAAAAAAACTTATAATGAGACATATTAAAAACATTGTTACTTAGAAATAAATAAATAAATAAATAAAATAAGAAAAAGAAGAAGAAGAAGCAGCACCAACACTAGTAGTAAGTGAGTGTTTTTCCCCAAACAAAATTAAAGTGATTGAATTAAATATGTAACCTAAGTTTCAACTTAGCACGTGAACAAAAAGGAAAGGAAAAAATGAAGTCATTTTAGAAGGACCACCAAAGTCAATTAGAAATGGGTGAGCGCCATTGAATATGTAACGTAAGTTTCAACTATGCCATGACGTGCATAAGATAGTTTTTGAGGCAATTCGTAAAGTACTTGAACAGTTGAACGGTCATGAATTCGTCTTTCACGTGATGTAAAAACACATGAACCGTGTATTTTGTAAGTAATAACACAATGAATTTTTTTTTGTAAACTCGTATATAAAAAATCACTAAGATTATAAGGGTTTTTTTTCATTAAACACAAAAAAATAAAAAATTTACTCGAAAGTTGGGTGACTGTCCATGTGAAACTTTTAACACCACCCTGGACTCAAAAATCATAGGTCTCTACTTTCGGTTGATTATTTCATTTAAAAGTCATTTTTCTTTTAAATTATTATGAACAAGACAACAAATACTATTAAAGGTGTACGTCCTATCATAATCTTTCTCAATAATTAAACTTGTCGATCACTCGATTCTTCTCGTCAGTGCTTCGCAACCATGGAAACGTGAAGTGGATCTACAAATTTTTATTTAATCATGACACCTCCAAAATAAATTATGAATGATTCTGTTGGGATATGTGTGTCCTAATATAGTAAATTCTTATTTTGGATTGTAAAAGTTATGGTTCCTTATCTGAATATTATTATTAAAATATTATACAATTGGTGAATGAAATGTATTATTTTTCGATTCATTATGGAATTGATTGTGTTCACTTGATTACAAGATAAATTTATATATATGTATGTAATGGCAATTAATACTGAGTTATAAATTAGTAATCATAAATGGTTCAAAGTCAGTAATTATGGATGGATATTTAATTAGTTAAAACTTGAACCGAGTCCACGATAGATCGAGATATATTGCGAGAGCTGTCGTATGCAATTGCTCTCTATCACGGTTACGGCTTTTGACTCTCAAGTATGAGAAAAGTATAGACTCTTTTATTAATTAATAATTATTTTAATTTATTCGGCAGATACCTCGGGATTCTTAGATCGATACTTTGGGTAGTTATGTAATTAATAGTTAGAGGTCTATATTCTCAATATTTGCATCAGTACTATTTGTATTTATTTTGTTTTGATAATGATTGATCACAAATTAAATTCGAAGGCCTTCGTACATTTTAGACAAATGTTTTCTATATATATTTATTTAGTAAATTATTATTTTTGTCAAATAAATATTTTATTGTGATCAAGCCGGAAGTAATCAAAGGTAACAAAATAATAATATTAATTATATTGTCGGATTGATGGCTTTAATTATCCGATAAATAATTAAGTATAGAGGGGTCAAAGTGCAACATTGACTTAGAGGTTATTTACTATTTAATTGGAGTGCGATTAATTTCTTTTAGTGGAGTAGAAATTAATTTATGAATTAATTGAATTGGGTCTATGGTTTAATGGACCGGACCAATTATTAATTTATAGGAGCCAAGAAAATAGTAAGCCCAAAAGGATTCTCACCAATAGCCCAAGTTGATATTGGAGTCCTGTTAGAATTGAGAAAGTTGAATTAGAGATGGAGAATGATTTATTGTTTCCTTATTCTTATTTTTATTTTACCTATATATACATGGGTCCATGTATATTTTAGAGGTGACTTTTATTTCAAGAAAAAGGAATACACTTTCTCTCTCTAGATTTTAGGATTTGTTTTCTCTTCTAAAAGGAGGCTACCACAAGCCTAGATTCTAAGGTTATTCATCAAGGCATATTGGTGATTCCTAAATGGAAGATTATAATAAAAAAGAAGGAGAAAAGATCTTGCTAAAGGAATCTACAATAAGTGAGAACATTCACTTTAGAGGAAAGATTAAAAGGTTTACTCAAACCTTTGATGTAAGTATTCAGTTTGTTTATTGAATTATATATCATCTTTTATTTATTTTTGCATAAAACTTGTCTCTATGTGATGAATCAAGATCCATGATTGCAAATCCCTCAAAAGTTTTAAAAACTTGCACATTTCCCAACAGATTCAACCAAAAAATTGTTGAGACCACAGCGCTTGATATCATGGAGCTCATGATCAGAATTTATATAATTTCAACTAATAAAAGTCTAACAAGGACGGGTTGTCAGCAGATGATCGATAAGAATATATTTACAGTTAAACTTGCTACAATATCAATAGTTATAAAGACCGATTTTATTTTATTTTTTATTTATTTTTTATTTCCTAGCAAGGAAGAAAACATACAAAAAAACAAGTATACATGTTTATAAATATACATTTTTATGATGCATACTTTCAGTTGGAAATAGGGCTATTTTTTGTACCTTCCCACCGAATTCACACCGCCTTGTCTTTCATGACACGGATATAAATTTAAATTTTAAACCCCTTACAGGTTATAAGGACGAGATGAGTTTTGAGAAATATCTTCCTATCCAATCTTACCCATTATATTTTATTTAAAAAAAAAAAAATTATATATATCCTCCCACCCAGTCCAACCCATTCAACATTAGTGGATGACTAGTTGATCACTCGATTCTTCTCGTCGGTGCTTCGTATCCATGGAAGCGTGAAGTGGATCTACAAATCTTTATCTGACCATAACACCTCCAAAATAAATTATGTATGATTTATCCAAAAAATTGTTGAGACCGTAGCACTTGATATCATGGAGTTTATGATCAGAATTGCATTGAAGATATATATATATATATATATATATATATATATATATATATACACACACACACACACACACATATGTATAAGTAAAAATACAAAAATTAATCGATTTTTTGATATGATTTCAACTAATGAAGTCTAAAAAGGACCGGTAGTCAGCAAATGATAAGAATATACTTTCTCGTTAAATGTTAAACTTGCTACAATATCAATAATTATCAAGACCAAAAATTAACATTTTTCCTATATAATTTTTAACAAAGCATTGAAGATTATATATGTTCGAATATTAACTAATTTTGTTCACTTCCAATCCGCAATATACTCTACCGTATGCAGCTTTTTTTTACTCTCTTTTATTTCAATTATTTTTCTTTTTCTTTTTCCTTGCAAGGAAGCAAACATACAAAGAACAAGCATACATTTTTATTAATATACAGTTTTAAGATACTTCTTTCCGATT